TTATATAGAATTCATTGGTCAGAGATGAGTTGTTTGTCTGAAAATCTAACACTTATTTTAACAATATATTCCTGGATGTATAACATTTATATGCAATATACACATTTTCCAAAAAAAGTCAGAGAAAAGTTGCACTATTCATTAGGTTTGCAAACCTTTTGTAGAGAAAAGTTGCACTATTCATTAGGTTTGTAAACCTTTTGTAGAGAAAAGAAAAACTCCAGGCACATGTCAAAATGTAATCTACAAGTTCCTAAGAGAAAAGTTTCATGTTGACATGATAGCAGTTTGATGGATTTACAGACACTGCTAATATTTTAACAGCAGGGTAGATCTACTGACATTGTTTTAATGTCAGGTAGATGTAGTGACATTGTTTTAATGTCAGGTAGATCTACTGACATTGTTTTAATGTCAGTAGATCTACTGACATTGTTTTAATGTCAGGTAGATCTACTGACATTGTTTTAATGTCAGTAGATCTACTGCCATTGTTTTAATGTCAGTAGATCTACTGACATTGTTTTAATGTCAGTAGATCTACTGCCATTGTTTTAATGTCAGTAGATCTACTGACATTGTTTTAATGTCAGGTAGATCTACTGACATTGTTTTAATGTCAGTAGATCTACTGACATTGTTTTAATGTCAGTAGATCTACTGACATTGTTTTAATGTCAGGTAGATCTACTGACATTGTTTTAATGTCAGTAGATCTACTGACATTGTTTTAATGTCAGGTAGATCTACTGACATTGTTTTAATGTCAGGTAGATCTACTGACTTTAAGACTTGCAATCTACACCATCCTGACACAGCAAAGCTGCTGATAGATCTGGTTATTGAACCATTCTTAAACATCTTGCTCTAACTTTTCATGCTTGCTCTAACTTTTCATGCTTGCTCTAACTTTTCATGCTTGCTCTAACTTTTCATGCTTGCTCTAACTTTTCATGCTTGCTCTAACTTTTCATGCTTGCTCTAACTTTTCATGCTTGCTCTAACTTTTCATGCTTGCTCTAACTTTTCATGCTTGCTCTAACTTTTCATGCTTGCTCTAACTTTTCATGCTTGCTCTAATTTTTCATGCTTGCTCTAACTTTTCATGATTGCTATAACTTTTCATGCTTGCTCTAACTTTCCATGCTTGCTCTAACTTTCCATGCTTGCTCTAACTTTTCATGCTTGCTCTAACTTTTCATGCTTGCTCTAACTTTCCATGCTTGCTCTAACTTTTCATGATTGCTATAACTTTTCATGCTTGCTCTAACTTTCCATGCTTGCTCTAACTTTCCATGCTTGCTCTAACTTTTCATGCTTGCTCTAACTTTTCATGCTTGCTCTAACTTTCCATGCTTGCTCTAACTTTTCATGCTTGCTCTAACTTTTCATGCTTGCTCTAACTTTTCATGCTTGCTCTAACTTTTCATGCTTGCTCTAACTTTTCATGCTTGCTCTAACTTTTCATGCTTGCTCTAACTTTTCTTGCTTGCTCTAACTTTTCATGCTTGCTCTAACTTTTCATGCTTGCTCTAACTTTTCATGCTTGCTCTAACTTTTCATGCTTGCTCTAACTTTTCATGCTTGCTCTAACTTTTCATGATTGGATGTGGATTGTGCCAGGTAAAGATGAAAAAGGAAGTCAGTCTTCCATGTCATTGTCTGACCAAAACTTCCCATGTTGTACCTGTCAACAATCTGCCAGGTAAAGATAAATATGGAAGTCAGTCTTCCATGTCATTGTCTGACCAAAACTTCCCATGTTGTACCTGTCAACAATCTGCCAGGTAAATATGAATCAGGAAGTCAGTCTTCCATGTCATTGTCTGACCAAAACTTCCCATGTTGTACCTGTCAACAATCTGCCAGGTAAAGATGAATCAGGAAGTCAGTCTTCCATGTCATTGTCTGACCAAAACTTCCCATGTTGTACCTGCCAGCAATCTGCCAGGTGAAGATAAATAAGGAAGTCAGTCTTCCATGTCATTGTCTGACCAAAACTTCCCATGTTGTACCTGCCAGCAATCTGCCAGGTGAAGATAAATAAGGAAGTCAGTCATCCATGTCATTGTCTGACCAAAACTTCCCATGTTGAACCTGCCAGCAATCTGCCAGGTAAAGATAAATAAGGAAGTCAGTCATCCATGTCATTGTCTGACCAAAACTTCCCATGTTGTACCTGTCAACAATCTGCCAGGTAAAGATGAATATGGAAGTCAGTCTTCCATGTCATTTTCTGACCAAAACTTCCCATGTTGTACCTGCCAGCAATCTGCCAGGTAAAGATAAATAAGGAAGTCAGTCTTCCATGTCATTGTCTGACCAAAACTTCCCATGTTGAACCTGCCAGCAATCTGCCAGGTAAAGATAAATAAGGAAGTCAGTCTTCCATGTCATTGTCTGACCAAAACTTCCCATGTTGTACCTGCCAGCAATCTGCCAGGTAAAGATGAATAAGGAAGTCAGTCATCCATGTCATTGTCTGACCAAAACTTCCCATGTTGAACCTGCCAGCAATCTGCCAGGTAAAGATAAATAAGGAAGTCAGTCTTCCATGTCATTGTCTGACCAAAACTTCCCATGTTGTACCTGCCAGCAATCTGCCAGGTAAAGATAAATAAGGAAGTCAGTCTTCCATGTCATTGTCTGACCAAAACTTCCCATGTTGTACCTGCCAACAATCTGCCAGGTAAAGATAAATAAGGAAGTCAGTCTTCCATGTCATTGTCTGACCAAAACTTCCCATGTTGTACCTGCCAACAATCTCCACCAATTTTTGCCCCATCAGCTTTTCTAACTTGTTCCACAGTCATGCCTAGACTTAATGCTCTGCTGAATATGCCGAAGTTTACACTCATTTAAACTTAATTCACTTACTAATTTGTCTGGGTATGTCTCCAATTATTTCTTTTTCTAGCTCTGTTCTCCCACAGTTTGACTTCAGAAAGGGTAATTAAATTGTAGTCTTGCAACAAATCATCCTTTGAGTGGCGTCTTTCATTTCTGTGTAGCTATCCTTGGAGCTATATTTTCATGACAGGTACAAATACCCAGCAAATACAGCATACCTAGCTTTCTGTAGTATCCCAAATTTAATTAATGTATGTCAACTGGAATAGAATTTTTTTTAAATTGCAGGTGAAATATGTATATTATTATATTACATGTACAAAAATTACACATAATATAATGCTTAAAATGGTTAACTAAACTTTCCAAAAGTTACTGTTGTTTCAATGTACAACATTAGTGCTAGCATTCATCAATCAAATCTTTAAAAATGTATTACAATATGGGTTTAAAATGACTATCATATAAATTAGATATTTTTAAAATCATTGAATTTATAAAATCATTATTTCTTTCAATAAGCAACACTCTAAAATCAGAAAATATATAAATTATTAAATATGCACTCCTTAAACAAAGCAGTTAACCTCAATTATAACATAATCAGTTATAACACCATCAGGACAAGATGCTTAAAAGGAAACTTTTTGAAACAAACATCCTACAGTTGTCAACCTTAAGACCACTACATTTTTCAAATTCCTTAAGCGAAACAGCTTCATATTTACGACCATGTCCATTAAAACTTAAGCCAAGTTATTTAAATTTGTTTTTTCTTTTGCCTTACATATGCATCTGAAGTTCGAAGACTGAAACCGCTTTAGTCTCTCTACAACCCATAATATGTTGGTGTAATTGTCCCCTTTTTCTTTTCCAACAGATGTATAGCATCATCTGTCATCTCTTGTAGGCCTATGCTCCTGAAAAAGTATTCTAATAGATGTATAGCATCATCTGTCATCTCTTGTAGGCCTATGCTCCTAACAAAGTTTTCCTCCATTTGTAGACAACAGTAGTTGTAGTCTTATACAAGAGTCAACTTATTGGCTTGCTGAAACAGCTGTGGTCTATTATGGGTGACCTTTGTGCTTGTTCACTGCATGAAACCCTAGTAGTTTTTCTGTGCATGTTTGAGCACACAAAAATCCATCATTTTTATAAATACTTAATCCATAAATTATGGTCTGGACATGCTTGCTTTCTCCTCAGTGAATCCCATTTTACAAAAGTGACTTTCTCCTCAGCGTACCATTTTTACAAAAGTGGCTTTCTCCTCAATGAATCCCATTTTACAAAAGTGGCTTTCTCCTCAGTGAATCCCATTTTACAAAAGTGGCTTTCTCCTCATTTAATCCAATTTTACAAAAGTGGCTTTCGTCTCAGTGAATCCAATTTTACAAAAGTGGCTTTCGTCTCAGTGAATCCCATTTTACAAAAGTGGCTTTCTCCTCAGTGAATCCAATTTTACAAAAGTGGCTTTCGTCTCAGTGAATCCCATTTTACAAAAGTGGCTTTCTCCTCAGTGAATCCCATTTTACAAAAAGTAACTTTACTTATATGTTGTTCATTGGCAGTGTCCTTTTGATGATTTTGTTCCAAAGACTTAATAACCAACTCACAAGAAACTTCATATTTCATTCCTCCTTTTATGTTCACAATGCCGTCCTTTAGCCCCAATACAGCCCACGTGATCTCGCTATCAGTCAGCGTAGGTATGGTAAGAAACGTGCTACGCTGATCTTTGAATACTTTGATAGATATAGCCTCAGTCAGCGCAGGTATGGTAAGAAACGTGCTACGCTGATCTTTGGTAGATATAGCTTCAGTCAAGTCCTCTACAGTGCAGGTATGGTAAGAAATGTGCTACGCTGATCTTTGGTAGATATAGCCTCAGTTAAGTCCTCTACACAATCGATAATTTTCTCTTCACAATATTGAAAACCCTATAGCATACATGCTAGAAAAATATTCAGTGACTTTAACATTGTTTTAATCTTTTCCATGACTTCCTTGTTTCTTGGAATATCCTGAATAAAAGAGTAATTTAAATGAGTCAAAATGCTTTGCATTTATCAAATTATCTCTATCTATATATACACACACATACATAAATAAAGTCATGTACAGTTATATAAAGCCATAATCAGGGTTCCCGCGGCCTCCTGAAATTCCAGGATGTCCTGGAATTCTCCTGGAATTTGAAAAAAACCCAAAAGTCCTGGAATTCTCCTGGAAATTCAAAATTTCAGAAAATTTCTCCTGAAATTTTGAAAAATCTCCTGGAATTTTCACGCGTAACAAATTTTTCGTGAATTTGCGTGCATTTTCGGTATTTTGTTTACGCCGCCGCTTAGAGTTTCCTTTTCCGTTTTTTTTTAATTCTGCGCACATCGGATGTTGGTTTAAAACTAGATTTAGCCTTGGTCTATATAAGGGTCCGTCTGGCGGGATTTTCGATTATTCAAGTGTCAGCTCTTGAGTTTGATTCTTCGGATGTTCATTCATAGATCTATTTCATTTTTACTGCGTCACTGTGAGAAATTTCTCGATTTCAGTTGTGAACTATTGTGTTTTCATTTCAATTTAACATTTCATTATGCCGAAATATACCACTTCGTTCAAACCTGCATGGTTAGAGAACGATTTGTATAAATCATGGCTACAACAAACCTCAGCAACCAAGGCATATTGTCGGTTATGTGCCAAATCGATAGACGTTTGTAATATGGGAGAGGCAGCAATCAAATCGCATATGAAATCAAGCAAGCATGTACAGCTTGATAATAAGTCTTCTGGTTGCATGACTGTTGCCTCTCTGTTCAAGAAAGCTGTTGTTGTGCCTACTGTAACCCCTTCACCATCGGCAGCCGCAGCATCCCAGCTTGAAGTTACAGCTGTAGCTGAAAAGTCATCATTACCCTGTCCTGGTCCATCAACTTCGAAGTTGCCACAGGCTCAAACCACAATGAAAACTCATGTCACCAGTGAGCAAACATTGTCTGCTGAGATTTTATGGGCCTTAAAAGCAGTATGTTCGCATTATTCATTTAACAGCTGTGCAGACATTTCTAGCCATTTTTATCGAATGTTTCCGGATAGTGAAATTGCTAAGAAGCTTTCCTGTGGGCCGGATAAAATGGCATACATGGTGTCTTTTGGACTTGGGCCATATTTTCATGAGTTGCTGAAGGCCAAACTTAAAAGTTTAGATGATGGTTTCATCCTTTTGTTTGACGAGGCCCTCAATCGGGAGCTCAGCAAGAAACAGATGGACATACACGTTAGACATTGGGATGATGACAAGGTAAATAACTATTTTTAATTATTTTTTTTATATCAATAGTTATACATAACATTGCAATGCAATTTAAAAATATAGATCTAATTTTAAAAATTGCATAACAAAATAGTGTATTTAACATTTTAGGTCATTACAAGGTATCATGGGTCTGCCTTCCTGGGACATGCAACAGCTCAAGATATGTTTCAAAAAATAACAAGTCTTTTTGACTTTGACCAGAGCAAAGTTGTTCAAATCTCCATGGATGGACCCAATGTCAACTGGGCTTTACTGAAACTGCTCTCGGCTGAGTTAAAACATGTTTCTGCAAGAGGTTTTATCGACATTGGTAGTTGTGGTCTGCACACCTTACACAATGCCTTTCGTTCTGGGCTTGTGGCATCTAAATGGGAGTTAAGTCACTTCTTCTCCTCTCTCTCATGGTTGTTTAAAGATACTCCGGCACGCCGTGAAGACTACACGAGACTCACTGGTAGCAGCGATTTCCCCCTGGATCATTGCCCACATCGCTGGGTGGATAATGTTATGGTAGCAGAGAGGGCATTAAAAGTTTGGCCACACGTCAAGCAATTTATAAAATCCCTTTTGGCAGAAAAAAAAGCACCAAACACCAAGTCTTTTGAATTTTTGCAGAATTGTTTGAATGACCATTTTTTAACTGCAAGGATTGAGTGTTTTATTTCAATTGCCAAGACTTTGCAGCCATTCCTTAAAAAATTTCAAAGCGATGCCCCCATGCTGCCATTCATGGCACATGAGCTTTTTAACCTTTTGCGATCCCTGCTTCAGAGGTTTGTTGCACCAGAAGTTTTCAAGAAAGAATGCTCATCAGTTGCAACACTGCTGTGTTTAGACATGTCAACAACAAAAAATCTTTTACCACCGTCTGATGTTGACATTGGCTTCAAATCCAAAGCTGCAGTCAAAGAAATTAAAACTAAAGTGAGTCAAAGGGATATTTTCCAATTCCAAATGGAAAGCAGGGATTTTTTAAAAGCAGTTGTGACAAAGATTATAGACAAAACACCCATTAAGAACAAGATTGTTCAGAATTTGGATTGGCTGCAACCCAAATGTATTGTTAATGATTGTCAAACTTGTGTCAAGCAGTTAGAAAATGTAATGTCCTGCTTGGTTTCAATTGGTAGGATCAACCCAGACCACTGCGACAATATTAAGATGCAGTTCCTGCAGTGGCAGTGCAGCATTAGTACTTCCTATTCTAGCATATTTTCCTCCTTTTGCTGCAGCACCGATCGCCTTGACACCTTTTTTTCCCAATATATGGGGCACAACGAAGATTATTCTTTGCTCTGGTCATTAGCACGCACACTACTGATGCTGTCACATGGCCAGGCCACAGTGGAGCGAGGCTTCAGCGTGAATAAGGAAGTCATGCTGGTGAACATGCATTAAAAAACTGTGGTGGCCAAGAGACTGATTTGTGACCATGTTGCCAGTGTAGGGGGATTGTCAAATGTCAGCATCAGTAGTGGGCTGCTCATTGCAGCTGCAGGTGCCAGGACGAAATATCGTTTGTTTTTGGAAGAAAAGGCAGAGCTGGAGAAACAGAAGTCTAATAAACAAAAGAGGGATGACAGCCAACAGGAGCTGGATGGGTTGAAGACGAAAAAAGCCAGGTTGGAGAAAGACATTAGCAGCCTGACTGAATCTGCTGATAAATTGGCTGAAAAGGCTGAAAATACAAACAGCCACAAGTTTCTTATTGAGTCTAACGCCATGCGTCGGGCTGCCAAAAGCAAGAATGAGCAACTGGCAGCTATTACTTTAGAAATACAATCTAAAGTGATAGAAATTGGCAGCTTGTAATGTGCAAACATTCAGTCTGTATATATGTAAATAACTCTATAAATAAATGTATATAAATCAGTGCATAAAAGCTCTCAAGTATGTCCTGTCTTAATTTGGTGAGTACGCTGAATATTTTTAGTTTGTAATAAATTATTATTATTTTATAAAAAAAAATTTACATAGTTTTATGCATTATTATATGTCCTGGAATTTTTTGATTCCTCCTGGAAAACTCCTGGAATTCTCCTGGAATTTGAAATTGACTTTGGTGTAGGAACCCTGCATAATATATCACCTGTTCAAGATATATGACAATGTGCTTGTTATAAGCCAGAAGTAAGGTTCCAAAGGTCAATGACCTCCTCATCTCCTGGGCTGTTGTTGATTTACTCACAGTAAAATTTATTTTCAATTTTTCTTTAGGTCAGAATTTAGGTACAAGACAACTTCTCTCTCCTTGATGTTCTTAAACCTGATGTTCTCACCATCGGTTTGTGACTGGAAAAATATTGTTTGTTTATTCACATCGCACTTATTTTCTTGATGTTTTTAAACCTAATTTTCTCACCATCGGTTTGTGACTGGAAAAATATTGTTTGTTTATTAACATCGCATATGTGTTTCCAGTGGGAAGCTATTACTATTAGTTCAAAAAACTTCTGAAAGTACCGACTTGATGATCCAGTGTCAAAACATAAGATTGATGTATTTTTTATCTTTTATTTTTTTTTCTTTTGTTTTTCTCAGTCAATATCATTGCCAGTGGCGTAGCGAGGTCGGGTATCACCCGGTGCGGCACTTAATGGTGTCACCACCCCCACTCCCCCCCCCCCCCCCCCAGAGGCGTAGCGACCGTTCCCGGGGACAAACTTTCAAATTTCGATTTGCACCCCCCACAAGTTTTTCTCTATATATTTTGCTGTTTTTTGCCTTGGTGTCTACCCCCCTAAATGGTGTCACCCGGTGCGGTCCGCACCCCCGCCCCCCCCCCCCCTCGCTACGCCTCTGATCATCGCTGTCCCAATGCTTTAAGAAACTTCTATTGTTACTTATATGCTACCTAACTTCTTCTTTATCATTTGCATCCCAAGGCTCAATTGCCCTGTACTGTCCATCTACTAGCTGGACGCCGTCAAGTGCGCGAGTCCTCAAATGCTCACACATCTTAGGCAGGTGCCTGTCTGTGTTACATTGGCAACATTGCACCCTCCTCCCATTGAGGATTATAAGGACTCTGCTCTCCTTGTTGGCCTCATTTGTAAGTATAATATAGTGTGGGACACTCTACACATTTTCTTTCTCCAGAGAGATGGTGAATTTGACCAAATTTGATTGGTCTATTCTCTTAAATGTTGGTGTTGAGTCCTGACTGCTTATAGATTTCAGAATTGCCATTATATCATCATCGCTCGTCTTGGAAGGCAGCCATTTCAGCATGCCTCTTTGCCCAGATTTATCGGCGTGGGTTATTGGTATTTTCTGCACTCTGTATTTGGATGTTACCCCAATTGGCAAATCTCTGTGAAATTCTTTTAGGTGCATTTTCTCACATAGATCCTTTGATCTAATGGTGACATACCACTTACGCACTGCCCCGTAGTTATAGAGACCCAGTGAGGGTGGCTAAAGAAAAACCTTCTATGAAGATCTCTAGAGTTTTTGGCGCATGTCCTGCCAAGCAAAACTTAGACAAGAATAGCCGTTTAATTAGGTAGTCCAAACTGGCGAAAAAGTGCGTTTTGGGGCCAATTTTTGCAGTTTAAAAAAAAATTCACTACTTCTAGTTGTCCTATAAGAATAAAAATTATATGTCAATAGATTAAGTCTTTATCTGTCGTAATCTGGTATTTTTATATCTATAACATGTTTGAATGTGTTTTATGTTTGTTTGAAAAGCATCAGTTACGTCAACAAATTTCACCGTTTTTCTAGTGCCGATCGACCCTACACTGCTTTATTTGGTCGCGACGAAGCATCGTAGAAGCATAATCTTAATGTCATTTCAAAGAGCAAATTCTAGCCTATTGTTTGAATATACATTTCTTTTTTGTTTCATTAATATTTTATAAGTGTTTAACCTTCGTTCCCTGTAAATAATTGAGTTCGTCCACATAGTAACCAGGAATGTTTGGTGGCCATTTTGAGTTTGTCTTCATTCAACCTAGATTAAGATTAGTTACAATTTGAAAGTTTAGGTTCATTTGATGGAAAAATGAAATGGACCAGGTTAGCTAAAATTAGAACGGGTCTGGTGTGTGAACCAAAGTTAATCATTTTGATAGCCATGCCACATCGATATTTGTTTTTTTGGAATAGCTGTAAATTGTTAGGGGTCATCCACGGGTTTTTGGACGATATTTACCTCCCCTCTCACCTACCAAAGCCAGACTCCCCCCACCCTATAATGACGTCACACCTCAGCCAACAAATCCCCCCCCCCTCCTCGAATTGAATTTAAATTATTTTTTTAAACATCGATGTTTTTTCTAAAATATTGACTGAGGTCACCAACATAGGGTATTTTGTTCAATATCTATTACAATGTTTTACAACAGTTTTTTTAAAAGCGTAATAGCGGCAAAAATGCAGTTGTTTCAAACATTACTTTTTTAAAATACAAAAATATGACGTTACACTATTTTACGAGTGTGACGTTATTTATGGAAGACCCTTTATTAAAAATTTAAAAACAGTCTGTACGTATTTTTTCTTCCACAAACAAGACACGGTCGTAGTCAAGTTGAGTTTTGGATTTATTTTTTAATCTGTAGGCCTACGAAGCATACGTTTTGCAGGAACAGCTATGTGAAATTGACTGTGACGTCATTTTTTTCCACAAGCAGTACCGAACACGTACTTGGGGTCAAGGTGAGGTCACAAGAGCCACCGGTGCTATGAGGTGGGACCAGGGGCTACAGTGCCGCCAGACCCCGCAATGGGGGGGGGGCACGCCGTTTAGGGGGCCGACAGCCGCCCATAATCATTTTTTTAAAGTTAAAATTAATTTTCTTGCATTTTTGACCTGATGGTTCTTTTGAAAAAAGAATAATATAGCTGCGGTTGGAGTATCTTTATTCTATAGACTCATCCCACGCTCTTGTATATTCTTTTTCCTACAATCAAACATGCTGTTGTCGGCAAAATTCTTTTGAAAAAACATCAATTGCGCGAGAGGCCGCTAGATATTTAGACGGCTTTTTGAGACCATCACAAATTTGGTACTGATGGATAAAAGCACATCGGTGCTTTGTTGTCCCTTTTAAGTTCCCTTCTCTGACCTCCACTCCCGCTCTTAGCCTTACAAAAAGCGAATAGATAGCGCCTCAACAACTAAGCTGGCTCGTATCGGTGGTAGTGTAGACAAACTAGCGCTCCAACAGCAAAGCTGGCTCGAATCGGTGGTAGTGTTGACAAACTAGCGTTCCAACAACTAATATCCAAGAAATAAAGTGCCGACATTGTTTACATTTAATAGCCACTGTTCTATAAAACAAGGCAAAGCGTGTTATATATATATATATATATATATATATATATATATATATATATATATATATATATATATATATATATATATATATATATTAGTTTCGTCACTGGCACAGATAAGAGATATAATACAGTAGTGATATTATATAGTAGCTAAGACATGCTGTTGCGTAAAAAATTTTTTTTTCAAATATACACATGAGCTGTAGTCTGAAAGATAGGCAAACGTTCAAACCACTTCCATAAATTATTTCCCTTTTTCAAATAGCCAAATAGGGGTGCTTATAAGCTCCTTTTAATAGATTTGTAATAATCAAATTAAACAGCAATTACTTATCTTAATTATTATTTTTAAAAAAATAAGTACTAAAGAATGGTATAGTATAATAATGAAATGTAGTTAAAACTAATAATATAAATTTAAAAAAACTGAAAAATAAACATAACACGAGACACCATTACTTATACAAAGCTTCATGATTTATATACTTTTGACCGACTTAATGATTAGAAGTATTAAGGCAAACATAAATGAAAACAGGGATTTTCAAATGCACTCATACACGACATGCTGTCTTGATTAGATTTAATTGAATTTTTATTTTCAAAATCCGATCAGGCCAGAAATGAGTATCCTATGTTCGTATTGTGTTATATGCATATATATATATATACATATATATATATATATATACATATATATATATATATATATATATGGGGGGGGGCAAAAAAAATTTTTGTAGGGTGGCCCATTTTTTTTTAGTTCCGCCACTGGGTGGAGCGGGTTCAGTGGCGTAGCCAGGAATTGGTCAAGGGAGGGGTTTAAACATGTTTGCATGTATACAATACTATATATATATATATATATATATATATATATATATATATATATATATATATGGGTCCATGGGAGGGGTTATAACCCCCCTTAACCCCCCTTGCCTACGCCACTGGGCGGGTTAGTCTAGTCCTCATGGTCACCTTTTGCAAGGATTTCAATATTAATTTGAGATTGCGAAATAAAATAGAATCAGAGAGAATTGGTAAATTTAGGCGGGTTAAAATGCCGATAGATAAATTAGGCTATATCGATAGCTAGATAACCAGGCTTAAGAGATGTAAGTTTCACTTGAAGAACTGCATTATTTTAGATTACCTTTTCCCGTGTTTTTGATAAATAGTTAACTAAAAAATTGTGCTTTGAAAAATTTGTAAGTCCACCGAAATTCCGAATCTTAGTCTACATTTAATTTTGATCTAGCACAGTCAGACCTAGCGCAATCGACCAATCGAAAAGAAATGCGCATATTCAAGTGTCCGTTTGACGTAAGTACTGTAGTTGTCGATTTAAATTTAAATACGAATAAGTGGAATGAGCATGTCGGCCCTTTCCGTAGAAGACATTTCCGTTTTTTTTTCCTAATTTTTAAAACTTCGTAAAAAATCAATAAAAATTGAAAGTCTGCGGAAAAATTCGGCGAAAATTAAATCAGCAGCGGAAAATCGCAACTGAAACGGACAAATCG